GTTTTGATATCTAAGGGTTAAAGAGAACGTGAAATAGCAGCATAAAGAAACAAAGAGTCACATTGATTTTTATTAGAGATGCTAAGAAATTCAATTCTTCCTGTGTAACTTTAGCTTCAGCTTTCTCTACCCTCTCCTTGTTTACATACAGACATATCGAGTAAAACCGCAAAAACACAAATTCAAATGTATGCAATTGTATGTGTACTTTCGGCAACACAACGCTACACTTGTAAACACATATCCACACAATCGTACAGCTCTGACATCATAGCATTTGCCTCCATGCTTTCTTTGCCACTTTTGTGGCAAACGCTTCAATGGAAAATTGATATGTTATCTCATTGTTAGAGCTTGACTGACACAAAACGAATTGAACAGAGCAGCTGACGGTGGGCGGGCGGTGGGTGGTGGTTATTATCTGTGACAATCGTTAGCACGGCTGCGGCATGGTTCTTGAGAAATTCTGCATGTGTGCGCTGGTGTGTTGCATGGAGCAGCACTCAAGTATCGAATTCATTCATGTTAACGACGATTGCTTTGCATGCATCTTGACTCTCACTTCCATAAGCGAAACTTCAAACATGCAACCTGAACTGACAATGCGCCAGTGACAGTGCAACAATGCAAGGCGTACTGCATTGTGTGACGTAACAATGGTTTTATGTTAACTCGTTGGCACAGTGGTGTGAAGCAGGTGAGTGGAAACAAAGCTGAAGTAAGTTTGGAAGTTATGAAGCACTTTTTAATTTCATTTTTATTTGCTGTTGCAGTTATCGATATGTGACTGGATTATAGTGATATTACTACTTTAACAATAGAATTATGATTATTGGAAAGCACATTTCCTTGAAATATTATTTACGCATATGTGTGGTTGAGGGTACAAAAATAAATGTAAGTTGGGACTAGAAAAATATGTTGAGGGGTTATATACACTTCTGAATTTCCAAAAATCGATTTTTTTTGTCTTATATATTGAATGTAAATGTATTTGAAAATATTTTTCAAAAATTTGAAGTTAACTCGGCAAACAGTTTCGAAAATATGAGATGGTTTGTAAGAATTTTCTAACTTAGTGTAATCGGCTGCCAAAACTTTAAACTCGAAACGCTGTCTTTAAGTCGGTGAAACTTTCATAAATAATAATTTGTTAAATAAATTACATCTGCAAAAAAATTTTCTGACCTGCAAGCAAATATAACCACTTATAAAATATGAATATGACATTTTTAAGAGACGTTAGTTTTTTCATCATTAAATGATTTTTGGCTAGATAATTACTCTGTTTTAAATTACCAGTAATATAATATGCTATACGAGTATATCAGTGTTTTTCTCAATTTGTGCAGTTGTTGCCTTTGATGGCAGGATGCCTTTTGCATTTAATTCATTTGTTTGCAACACGCTTCCTTATTGCTGCTCAAACAATTTTAAGCCGCTCACATTTTTTTTCTCAGCTCACAATGATTGATAAGCCGCTTATTTGTGTACGTGTGTGTGTGTGTGCGTAATTTCAACGAAAAGAAAGCCATATCTGTGGCATGCCACATATTGGTGACCTCAATTGCTTTTTATGTATTCGGAAATATTATATAATTCTTTTTAATACCATACATTTCATGAAATTCATTTGGCTTTTTTTGTTTTCCTGTGTGCGTGCCTGCTTATTGTTGTTGCGACCATCATTGCAGCTCTTAATTGAATTGCATAATGTGTACGGTTGCAAATGTGCGCTCACATTACGCGCCGCTCACACACATAAATCGCGCCAAAGGCTGCGTTGGTTGTTGACTTCAAGCCATTTCAGTAGTGTGGCATCACTCTGCTTTTGAACAAGCATTTTCGCATAAATAAGTAGGCGTAATTTAATTGTAGGGATTTTGCTGCCATCAACACAGTTGTCGCGCGTAAATGGAAGATCGATGTTTTGAAGCGATTTTTCCATAATTAATAACTGTGGTAATTGCCTACAATACCGGCGGTGATGCGTGTAACTCCTGGCTAAGGGATATTTAAATGGAAATGTGTTGCAATAATTTGTGCATTATTATGCACACAGTCAGTTCGCCAATTAAATATTTCAATCGATAGCTTAAGATCGCGGAAGTATGGTGAAAAAAGTATTTATAAATGCGTGGAATAGTTAATTAATTACTTTTGTTTTTATTACAACGCGGTTTTCTGGCTGACTTGGTGCCGGTGCAGAAAGTTTCGTAAGGGGAACAGCAAATTTGAAATTAACAAAATAAGGAAACAAGAAAAAACGTTAACTTCGTTCGCACCGAAGCTATAATACCCTTCACTAATACAAAGATTCCCTACAGGAACTTGATTCCGTTCTTTCAATTTGTAGGGAAGCTATATGCTATAGTGAACCGATATCGGTCGTTCCGACAAATGAGCAGCTCTTTATTGAAAAAATAACAAGTGCTTAAAAACTGAGGGACTAGTTCGTATATATACAGACAGACAGACCGATAGACAGGCGGGCATGGCTCAATCAACCCAGCTCATCATGCTGATCATATATGCTTTTATTTCATAGGGTCTCCAATGTCTCCTTCTGGGTGTTACAAACTTCGTTGCAAATTGTAAATTATTTGTGCAGGGTAGAAAGAACGTTTTTCTTTCATATCTCCATACAAGTATGTATGCAAAAATAACGTACCCAAATTTTAAATCGATATTTCAAACAGTTTTTGAGTGACATCATTTTAAAGTGTAGCCGTTCAGATCGAAACTCGAATTTCGGCAGGAAATGATCAAAACGTTTAGGTAATATTACATATTTTTCTTTTAAAACCCCGCCGCTTTGTCAATTTGTATTTTTTCGACCGGTCATTGTGTGGAAAATATTTTATAGTAGAGACATTTTTTAAAGTTTCATCCCCGGAGAAGAGCGCAATCACTGCAGCAATATTACATTTTTTTCATCGAAATGTTACTGTTTTGAACATGTTTACATACAGCTTTAAATTGTTAAAATATTCGAAACAGTAATTTTTTTTATTCTCAAAAATTTTCTTTTTGTGTGCTAACACAGTACGTGTGTCCCTTAAGCTAAGTAATCAAGATATTATATATAATGTTCAATTTTCCTTCGAACTTAAATGAATTATTGAAACAAAAAGTAAATTTCAGACGTACGGTTTGAATACATTAGTAAGATAACTGGTTAATATTGACATGAAAAGGCAAATAACATTAAATATTTGGAAAGAACTCATAAATTCAAACAAATAATAATCTATATACAATGTTAATAATTTTCATGTCTTATACATACTTAAATTGCGAAAGTTACTACGAAAAGCCAAACAAGAAATATTTTAAAGTGAGACATAGAGACTGCAAGCAAAGAGTCAGCACGCCTAGAAGTATGCTCAATAAAAAAGTACAAGCATAGTGAAACTTAAAACTATTATTTACGCTAATACAGTAGATTAACTAAACACTTTAAAGCAGTTAAACACCATTAAATGTTTTTTTTGCTTTGCAGCATTTCATAGAAGCTTTTTTTTTATATATAATATATTATTTAAAAGCTATAAAATGCTATATGTTTAAAAGAAATTGGTGTTACGGTGGCTGTGTTGCATTGAGCGCGCACACTCATCGCAACGTCGAGTGTGCACACGCACACATACACATGCCGATTGGTTGCGGCAAAGGAAACATACATACGAACGTAAGTTTTCGGGTTTGTAATTCATTAACGTGACTTCGCTGCTTGCCACGCTGAAAGGGGCCCAACATCAACATTACGATATTTTTCATTACATAAATTACATTTATAGTAGGCAGTGGACGTTTAACGACAACACACAAAAAATACACACACACAATAGCGAGCGACTTCTTTGTATTACATTTTACCACTGTTTCTTGTTTCTCTTTTGTTTCATTTTTTCTGAATTTTTCCTGTAAATAGCTGCATTTGATATTTTATGCTTTCTTTTGTTTTTGTTGGGTACAATATATATATATATTTATATCTAACAATAACAGCAATAAAAAAAAAATAATAGTGGGAGCCAGAGACATTAAAAAAGTATAAGAAATTATAAATTTCGTTTGAAAAGAAAAAAGATGTGTAATGTAGAAAAGTTCAGTTATAAAGGAAATATGGACAGCGTAGAATTAGGAGTCCGAAAATTCAGCACTGCGCCGCAAGGTATGCTGCATAGCAGGCAAATAAAAATTAGTTGCATGGAATATTCGGAGTGCATTTAATTTGGAATACTGAATTTAAGCGTTGCCGCATGAAATTTTGAAACGGCTGTTAGTGATTTGTACTTGAAATTGAACTTTATCAAACTAGCCACTTTTAGGAGTATAAAATTTCTTAAATATGGTTTCTATTAGTATGTAGAAGTGAGTGAAATTAATAAGCTTAGTTTTCTATTGATTGAGAATATGCGAACTTAAAGCATATTTTCGATAAGACCGTATTTGTTATATATATCGCACATGTTAATATAAATAAGAATTCATATTTGTGCATCAAATGAGGAATGCATTTACTAGCACACTTTTCAGCGCTAAGCACTGGTAATTTTTATGCGAGAACTATTTGATTTACCATTTCACATGGGCACAAAATGAAAAAGAAATTCACCGAATTTACAGCATGAAATCAAATTAGCATTGGAATAATAAATTAATAAATGGAATTATATAAATAATAAATGCAAAAATATTCACTAGTGACACAACAGTAAAAGGCAAAACGAAGCAAACACAGTGTAACATAAAACACAAGCATACATTTAGGCGAAAACACAAAAAGTAGGCAAAAAGTATATTTCGGCATAACCTTGCATACTTTCAGGCGTTTTCACTACTACTTAACACTTAGTAATACTGACGACTTGATTTCGTATAAGCTGCTCTTAACACTTTCGTGTGATTGACTGACTGATTGATTGATTGAATGAATGAATGTTTCTTGTACTTGTAGTAGTGGTTTTTGCTGTTGTTGCATTAACAAAACTTACCCATTCGGACATTTCGTGCGTATCAGCATTTCGATGATGATAATTTAATATTAAAATCGTTGACACAACGGATGAAGCTACCATAAACATTATGCAATTGAAATATGTACCTGTTGGTTGGTTGGGCGTGTGAGTTATAAATTTTTCATTTTTCATTTTTATTTTTTTTATTTTTTATTATTTAATTTAGTATTTTTTTCAGGTTTTGGAAATGAAAGTTTCGTTATATTTTTTTTATTGATAGTTTGTGAATAGTTGTTGGTGGGATAAATTGTTTGTGATTTTATTGGTGCAAAAGGAATTTTAATATTTAGCAGGATTTTAATGAATCGTAAACCGTATGGAAAACAAGTGGAAACGTTAGCAATATTTTAAATTTTAAATTTCGCGCAGATTGTTTAACAGTTATTATTAGCAATGCAAGGTGTTGCCATTAGTTTTGCATTATAAAAATGTTGCATACAATTGGGCGTTTAACGTGTATATTTATATATTACCAAAAATTCGCAATTTCAATTATATGATACGATAATTTGTGTTATATTATTTTAATTATTCAACAGTGACGAATAGTGGCATTCAGTGGTCGTGGTTATGGTAGTGGCAGTGGTTTAGGGGTCACGAGTTATTTTAGTATTTAGCGAAGAAATGTAGTAGAAGGAAGAATAAAGAAAAAAGTATATACACAAGTTTTACATTAGTAGAGCAATTGACTGACTTGTTAAGTACAAAATTTTCAACTTTTACTCTTCAAAAAATTTATATACTATGAAATTTTAATTAATATAAAAATCTGTAAACCAGTGAGATGTGTTAGAGGGTGAGCAGTTATTATGCCTGTTCATAAGTTTTTGTATTCGGCCTACAACTAATAATATATTTTTCTATAATTTAAAGTTATTTGAACTTTAACGCAGTACATAAGTGATTTTAATAAATTGTTACAACGAGCAGAAAGAGTTTTTACAAATGTATTGGAAAAAGTGAGGCTATTTGTATATAGAGTATAGCAACTTCAAGATTATATGTTATTAATTAATATTACATACATTTCAACGGTTCAAACACAGCAATTTTTGTAACTCGATTTACTTTCTAAATTATTTTTTGTTTTACATTTTTTTTATTTAAGTCTAAATTTAATTTTCTATTTTTGGCATTTAAATTCGACATCATTGAATTAGTATGGAGATAAATACTGGAGTCTGTTTAATTAAACAATATTGAAGAGGTTTATGTGTGGTTGTGAAAGAATTAATTGTGTCTAATTCTCTCTTAATTATCTGCAATATTCGTTAGTTAATTCTGATCGGTCACTGCCTCTGAGCAGTATAAGTCCTCTCCTATAATCGAAATTGTTGGTAAAAAGACGAGGTAGACATGCTTAGGTATATTTTTCGAATGTTTTGATACTCCAAAGGATCTTTCAGTAGTAGTCAAAACTACAACGCTGTCTAGAGAATTAGCCTCAATATCAATCTTAGGTTGGTTTAAGTTCGTTAACTGATCCTCTGATCCCACTTGGACGACTATAGGCAGTCCTTGGCGAATCTAATAATTGAACTCCAGTGAATAGAACTCCTGTATCCGATCTTATAAGTCGCTGAAGCCTCTTGTGTACATTACAAATTTCCCTATGCGTTTGATTTCTATTCCTACCAGCTCAGTCTGAATTCTCGAGTGATGAATCCTTGATATCGCAAACGCGGGACAATCAAGAAGGAGGGGTTGAGATGTTTTCTTCTATAAAGTTCTGCAGCTGGCTTCTGCAATGGATTATTCCTTACAAGTTTCGAATAATCCGTAAAGAAGCAAACTGTCCTTCTCCTCCAACGGCTTCTACCCACTCACAACTCCCCCTCTGCGGGCAGAGATAAAGCCACCAGAGTTTAGTTTTGGCGACTCCATGATCCAAATGATCCGGTATGTAGTTAAAGCGTGCGAGGATTTCCGAATTTTAAGACTCCGATAGCAACTTTCGGAGCCATACACCTGCCGGTGATATCTAGGCACTATTTGCAGAATGACATTAAGTGCCATGATTGGTGTGAACCTTAGTGCTCCACAAATACAGATGAGCGTTGTTCGCTGATTGCTCTCGAATTTCCTTGCAAGTGTTTTTTCTAAGGCGCTCCACCACACAAAAATCCCATAGAACTTACTGGGTTTGCCTATGGTGTCGTAGAGCGAAAGGACTATTTTCGGACTACTCCTTGTTATTAAAACCATCTTAACTTTATTTGGGTTAATGGCGAGATTTGAAAACGCCAACAGGTCATTTCTAAGACGAAGCGGGATCAATAAGCTTTGAAAGATCGCTGAAATCATTATTGAGTTAATAGTCTGGACTACTTTGTTTTGGAAAAGCTGTTGTTGAATATTTTTATAAACAAAGGCAAAAAGACACAATTGTCGTCGTTGGTCGAACTTAAATGCCAGAAATATTAAAACCAATGTAAGTAGTATTGTGCAATATTTTTTCAGCCTAATTTTATATTGAATTTAAATCTTTAAACATATTTTTAAGGTTATAAATATAATATATATTTTAAATTGATATTAAAGTTTAAAAATACACATTGATAGTATATTCAAATGGAAATATTTATAAAAAACGTGCAAAAATTCGAAATGTGCAGTTCTGCGTTGGAATTGAATCGGATAGTTTCAAAGCAAAAAATGGATGCAAGAGAAAAATGGGAATTTTTCTGTTATTTTCAAATAGTTTTGTAAATTTTGTAATCAAAGTGAAATGGTAGAAAAATGATAAATGTAAAAATATGTAATTTTGTAGCCAGATTATTTTTCTATTATAAGGTTATGAGTTGAAATTAATTAAACTGCATGAATTAATTTTGCTATAAAGTTTTCCTACTTTTTCCTTTGTTTTAATTTTTATTTTCGTTTTCATAAATGTTGGTGCATATTAATTAACTATTATGAGTTTAAACAAAAAGCGCATATAATTGCAACTTATTATTCTGAATTCCATTAAATTATTTAGTTTAACAGCTGGATTGCATGGCGCGAGGCAAGCTTAGTGTGGCACTCATAGAAAAAGTTTGTTTATTGTTCTTCTATGCGCACTAAGCTTGAAACGGCCATGCAAAGTGAAAATATGTCAAAGCTGTCGCTGGTTTTTTTTTATCGCCTTAGGCTTTTACTTTTTAACGTGTCAAAGTTTTAATATTATAAAATCATCGATATTGGTTTTTAAATATACATATATAAGTATATATAATTTTTTTTTTTTTGTTGAAATGCTTGATAAGGCATCAATATATGGTTATATTAGAGGCTGGACGCAGATAGCTGCGCGCGGCTCAACTGGTTAACACAGCAAACACGAAAATGATACAACAACAAAACTACAGCGAGAACGACAGTGAACGAGATAACAAATGTTGTTGTATACATATATGTGACTTTGTATGTGTAGTTTACGCATGAGTATGATATTGATACATTTATCGAATGTGAATCGAATTTTTTTTATGAAATTTGTATGAAAATTTATGAATTTTTTTGTGAAAATATTAAAGTTTTCTTAAATTGAATTTTGTGATACTATTTTGCCGCTAAATAATGGCTTGGTTGTAAATGTCTTTTAATGTGCTTTATATAAATATATACTAAGTATGCTGGTGAAGTAATTTATGTAGTTTATATTAGTTTCAACTGTTAAAGTAAGGTATGTTTTTGAAAATAAAAATATTTAGTTATATAACATTTATATTGCAATAAATCAACACAGAGAAACACTTAGAACGCACATCAATATTGGAATATAATTGTCGCTTACCTAAGAGTGGCACGGCATCGGATGTGGCGGGCATTGTTTCAGCCACCATGTTGAGGAAGACGGTGAGCGAGAGCAGAATAGTAACACCTGAAAGTAAATTTTAATATAATAAATCAATAAATACAGAATTTGTGTTTAAAGAGTTAATAGAGGTAAAAAAATATTTGAACAAAAAACATTAAAATTTATTTTTTATTTTTTAATATTGGAGATGTTGAAAAAAAAATGTTGACAAAAAAAGTAAAAAAAAAATTTCTATATTTGCCAGCCTCCAAATTAGGCTGCACGAAAGCATGCACTAACACAAGCACGTCTTGAATTTCCTAGAAAAGCGCAAGCATACACTTATCAAATTCAATTCACTGTTTAACTTTTCTTGTATTTACATTTCAAGCACTTGACAATGGCTTCGGCAAAGGTGGTTTACTACCAAGGCCTATACCGGCGTATATTTGCCAACGTTGAGATGTGATGGTGTGGTTGCGGTATAAGATATTTACACTTCATTTAAACATTTGTGGTCAGCAGAGCACATAACTACACCTATACCAACTCATATACAATAATATGAGTGACATAAACACACACACAGGCCTTTCTAAGACACAGTGTTGGCCATTAGCTAAATGCGAATGGCTTTATCATTTCTTGCATTAAATTTGTATGTACATGTGTGCTTAAAATGTACCGGTTACACCAACACACACATACTCAAACAATGCTTACATATGCCCTGCCTACACAACTACACCCGCAGTGCATGCGGGCAATTCATCATTCGTCCTCGGAGTGTTGTAATTTTAAATGAGTGTCAATATTTGCACACCAACTACCACTAATACACTTTTGCTGATAGCCAGCAACCGCACAAGTGAGCCTTAGCCAATCTCACCTACACACCTGCGCTTGCAATCAGCCAGCCGAATGGTTGTCCCTTCCGCACACGCTCACAACTTGCACTGTATTTACATACACACACATTGGCAAGTGCCACACTTTTCACAGTTCACTTCTTCGGCTCGGTGTATTCGTATGCCAGGGAGTGTGTCTGTGTGTGTGTGTGCCACATTTTAATTCAATCATACTCGGTCAAAGGCTGTGGCAGAGCATTTGTTTTAACTGGCCCTTGGGACATTTTGTCTTCAATTCAACTTTGCTTTTCAGTCATTTTCATTCCGTTCTGCTTCCTCCATTATTTTATTTCACTTCGGCATTTGTGTCAAATTGGGAAAAGTAAAATTCGCCCAAAGAGCAAGAATTAGCATTGACAAGTGCGGCCAACTCACAGGAAAGCCAACATAAAGTCCTTTCGGTGTTGATCTACATTTTGCACAAATCCAATGCATACAATTCAATTCGATGTTGGTGTTTTGGCAAAAGTTCCTTTGCGGCGTTCGACATTTTTAGCAGCAATGTCAGCAATTCTTTTTCACACATATTTATTTCCTTTTTCTTTCTAATTTTAGCAAATTAAACTTTTTAATTCGGCCTGACCTGCATTGTATACTAATGTCGCGGCTACCTTCGTTAAGTTGGTTGTTTTTACTTTTGCTGAAAACGTGAGCAACGGAAGTGTTCTCGCGCTCTTCGCTCTTCCCTTTTTGTCTGCTGTCTTCCGCCGTCACATTAAGCTATTGTTACGTCATGTTGTTGTTGAATTTATTTTGTACAATTTGCTCGGTACATTGTTGTTGTTTCTTGTCTTCCGTTAAATTTTGTTACTGTACACCATATAGTAGCTGTTGGCATGCTCGTCGCTTATTATGCCTGTGTGTGTTGCTCTAATTGCACATTGTTGGCTTTCTAATTAAAGCCAACAGTGTTCGCTTCACTCACGGTACACCATTCGTATATGTTCGTGTTTTTGTAAGGTGAAGAAGGTTTTAGATCCTGTACCCTGCAGTTTGGTTAGCGCAAATATGAGCTTGTTCTTTTCGTTGCTTGCGAGCAACTCTAAAAACCATTAAGTAAGTTTCGATGGAAATACGTTGGCTAAAAATGGAGTTTTAGGGATGTGAATTGAAAACAAAGTGAGAGAGGGTGGCAACTTTAGGCTTAAAACTCCATGTGGTACCCACGCAATGATAAACGCTCGCAGATGAACGAAAAAGTTCGTCAACCGCCATTTCGATAGGAGATGAGTACCCTGTCTGAAATACTGCAAACGCTTCGGACTGCTTCTACTGCCTGCTAAACCCAGCCCTCAGGACAGTCGAGCCCTCACCATAAATAAGGAACCTCCGGCGTCAGGTAAACGACTCCAAACATCCGAGGTTATTAAATGCTTCGCTCTTGCGAGGGGCCGACTGAACATGACAGTAAAGGCCCATCAGTTTCAGTAAGAAAAAAATCACCAGTGATAAAGGATATAGGAATTGGAAGAAGTACGTGGCGGCGAAACGTCCCTCCAACTATGCCATAATCGGCACAGCTAGACCCGGAGGAAACATGTCGGCATAGCAACAAATGCTTTGAGGCAACGTTTAGCGATGGTCTAATGGATCTAATTCTGTTATCGTCCTCAAACAGGTTGGTGTTCAAAATCGAAATGGCTTGCTTCGAAAGGGGAGTCATCCGGTTGGCCGTCAACCTCAAAGACCCTCCTTTTGTGTGGTCAAGGGGTCTCCAACTACTAAACACTCATACCTTCGTCACGGGTGGGCCATAATGTCCACGGAGCCAATACTGAACAAGAACAAAAGACGGAGTTGAGGACGAGTCTGTGGAAGATATTTCATCGTGGCAGCATCCGAGAAGGTGATGTCATAGTTATGGGAATAAACCAAGACTCGAACTCATTCCTCGATTATGTGAGTAGTAGGACTCAGTTGCTGTGCTCCACCATCAGAGGTTCGGCATTCAGAGTCGCCAGGTCGCGACAACAACTTCTTCGGAGGGTTGCCTTCCTGACCGTGCCAACTCTGGAAAGGCGAATGCGTGGAAACACGTGGAACCGCTATCGGCCAAAAGTCTACCAGAGAATTCGTCGTCAATTGCGCAGATGGAGTAAAGTGGGGATTTCCCACCAACAATTAGCGCGTCGGGGCAAGAGAAATAATTCATACTAAATATAACCTTTTATTTGCAAAAACGACAATCACTAAATATCAACATAGTAATGATATTTAAATCATGAATGTCACTCCTAAATGTCTATCTGTCCATGGCAGTAGGTGTCTGACAACCTTCGCACCGGATGATGATGTGAATAACTTATAAGCACGAGCATAGCCGAGTGTGTTTGCACTGCTAGCAATAAATAATTGCCTTATGGTTTAGTGACTACAACAAATCTATAGTAACAGCCTGCCCAAATCTCAAGCCAGTCATGCATCATTTGAAGGCAAGGTAACACTCTGTTTTGCTTAATTCATTTGAGTGCAGTTTTGCATTAAAAATTTGACACTTTAGCAAAGTTTATAGCATTAGACACGCACATTCACTATCAGTCTTGTTGCTAAGTCTTAAGACTTGAATATTCCATTAAAGTGCCATTTGTAAATTTATCACAGTTTAGTTATGAAATGGTTTTGAATGGCAAATGGCAGCGAATAATAGAAAATGAAGCAGAGTATTTTAAAATATTTCAAAAATTCACATTGAGAGAAAATTTAATGTAAAGTTTCAAATCTCTCTACAAAAACTTAATTCTTCATTACTTGGTAATAACTTAGAAGGGTTTTACGCTAACTTAAATTTAAGAGAAATTCGAATTAATGTTCCCATGTTGCTCCACATCTCAAAAATTGCAAATATTGACACAATTTTCTGGAAACGAGTGCTGGGAGGGACACACTCTGTGTAGAATTACGACCAGTGCTCCATATAAGGCATAAGCGAGCGGTTCTATGACCCTAACCTACAATTTATATATGCAATTAAATACTTAATTCCAATCACCGCAAAATGTAGCCAACTAGCATTAAATTGCATATTTCTCTATAAGTCTCGAGCTAAAAACTACAAACTTGTAATAATATTCACTCGTATGATTCCTCGAAAATTCTAACGGCGTTTAGAAACAAAGTAGTAATTACTGAAATAATCTTACACATATGCAACACCATATGTATGCGTCATTACCGTAACTACCTAAGTAGTACTGCAGTTGTTGGCCTACCACTTAATGGCTGGCATCGTGGTTGGTTCGGTAATCTCTTCTTCGGAAGTGTAAAGTAAATGCACACAGCTGAAGTACGACTTCAACAGTGTCTTTCGTACTTAGGCAGGTCGTTATCGTCATAAACTTCGTTTCCTAGTTATTTTATCATTTTCAAGTGGTTACTGCATCATTCTTTGCGTATGTGTGGATGAGGAGCATGAAGCAGTGGAGGAGTTCGCAAATGCTTTCTGTGAATAACTTTGATATTTTGTTGAAACAAAACTAACGGTGCCGCAAGAATTTTAAGCAAATATGCAGATGAGTAGCAGCTGGGAATGTGTAAGTGCCTGTAAACTTCGTACAACAACAAATAAACATTTGGTTATAGGATGTGAGTAGCAAAGGCTCTAGAAAAAATATTAGTTTTATTGAAATACGTCGCTATGTTGTCAACAACTTTTTGGACATTCTTATTCTGTTTGTCTTTTGTTTAGAAAATTGAAAAAATTTTTAAAATTATAATCTCAAATTTGTCTCCCTCACCCTGTATGCTAATTTACTAAAGCAATATGACAAGGTTTTAGCAAAATATAATTGTACCAACTTCAAAACTGCCGGCAACAACCAGATGCTCGAGTACAAGTTCTCTATATACATATCTATGAATGGTATGTATGTGTTTATATATGCGCATATTTGTGTGTATGGTTGTGTGTTTGTCAGTACTTAGTTGTGTGTGAGCTAAAGTACTGCGCGGTATTTTGAAGTTTCTTTTTCGCAAATAGTTGACGTGGTTACTGTTGCACTCACGGAAGACGTTGCGGCGAGCTGAAGATGCATTCTTCGTGGAGACGAAGGAAAAATGCAGAAAAATGTTTGTGTTAAGCAACATTCCGCATTAGCTGAGACTTAGCTTCTGCGGGAAACCTAGTGCACTGTAACATATTTAGAAATTTAGTTATTGAGTTTGGAGCTTTTGAAGATAAAGGCGAAGAAGAACAACTGTCAAAAGGAATACTGAATGGTCTTCTTACACCTTATAGTATAAAATTCATTGTGGTAATATATTTTTTGGATTAAATGACATTTTTTTTTAGTTAAGGGGCGCACGTAATCTCACAGCCTAAAAAACGATTTTCAGGAATTAAAAATAAAAACACAAACACAATTGAAACAGGTTTTAAAATTTTCAGGGTACATATTTGGAGAATAAACAGTAAAATTTCACAAAAAAAAAAACAGAAACTTGAATATTTCTCGAGTAACACGCGATCTCCGATAGCGCTAACAAAAAGGTCCTCAACTGGAGCAGTGATTCCAGCGTTCTCCGTGGATGAAAATTCAAAAAAAATTTGTGCTAGAAAAATGTAAAAATAAACAAAATGGAGGCATTTAAACAAAAGTTGCTTATTTTAATGCAAAATTTTGGTCGTTTTTGGCTGTCAAAATTTAGTTTTTGATCAGTTCAGAAAAATGGTAGGCCATTTTATAAAAAACTACGTACATATATACAGAATATGCGGAAAATATTTGATAGCGTACGATGATTTTGATGATTAGTGCGCCTATTAAGCAGCTGCTAAATTAAGTGCTGACTATTAAGAAAGCTGTGCTTAGTTCAACAAAAAAAAAAAAAATACCTTGGGTGTATGATTTTAACTCCATGTATTATTTTGGAAAGAAACAGGTCACAACTCAAATATAAAAGTTTAACCGCTTCCACACAAATTTTTACAGTGTCCTTTCTGTGGTTGGCTAAAGCTGAGTGTACTTCTTTAAACTATTTGAGCTGGGCGGCGATCTTTTTTGCGCAGCTAAGGCATGTTGTTTCCCAAGTATTTGTGTTTCTGCTGCGCTCGAGTAAATTGAAATTAATGTAGTTTAATTTTAGTTTCAGCACGCTAAAATACCAATGCTAGTCAAACACCTACACGCATATTTATATGCAGCAAATTTATAAGCAGCAACATTAAATCTATATGTATGTATATCCTCTATATACATACACGACTCACACATATACATATATGTACAGCGCAATGTAGCATTAGCTGTATTAGCGGTTGCAAGCAGTGAAATGTTGTCCCGAAACAGCCAAAGTAAGCGTATATATGTGTGTATGCACACCAGCACACGAGTATGTACTTCAGTTTTACATGACTTCTCAAGTGGCGCTGTAGCATAGTTTTCGACGATTTAGCGTTCGGGTTGCAGAAATAATAAACTGCACTTTAGCGGAATTTCCGCACAACTGTAAACGCATAATTGCGGCAACATTCCACTTTACTTCGACTGCCGACTTTTGCGTTGCTGCGCCTAAGTATATGCAACTGCCTACACAAACATATAAGCAAATAATTGAAAATGTTTGCTAAAAATACTTTTTTACTTTGTGATTTCTACTTGGCATCGAAAAAACCGTAATTGAATTGCCTGCCTGGCGCACTCTTGAAGGCTTCTTTTCTTTCTGCGCTTTGTACGCATTGTTTCATTGATGAGCGCAATGAAGCAGGCAAACATTGGTTTGCCTCAAAACGCTTTTGCATTGAATTTGTGTGCATAATGAGCATTTAGCATTTGCAACACAATGCAGCTGAACTTTCCATGTGCCACTTAGCTTCGTGCGGCAGCCATTTTTGCAAAGGCAATGCGTTCAGCAAGAGTTGTTGTTAAAAAAAAAAAAAATAACAAAATAAAAAAACAAAATATAAAATTAAGGCAAGTGGCTGCATTAAAATTTTCAAGGATTTGTTAGTTAATCGTAATTCATTAAAGTCTATACACCTGTAAGTTGGCAGCAAATGTAAGTGCGCTATTAATAAGCCACACACACGCGCATACACCTTACACATACGTATTTAAGTTTATTTATATATTAATAAATTTTCATTTCCACTGCAGCGCGCTTTTATTTGACTGGTGTGCTCATTTTATGTTTTCATGTTTGTAGGTATGTGCGTTTGTCTTACATTTGCAATATGTAAGGACATAATTAAGCGCTTTTATTTTGCTATGTAACTTTGAGCTTGTACTCTCCCAAACCATTGTGAGAATTCAATTACTGAAAAGAAAATAAAGTGATGTCGAAAGTTCTTTTAAAGCTTTAAGTCCTAGAATTACGTGTTTTTTACGTAAAAATTATTTATCTCCGATAGATCTGCGACTTGTTATCAAAATGCACAGGTTAGGTTAGATTAGATAGCTAATCCCTTTACATGTCATGTAGATTACACTTGGGCTGGAGTCCTTGGTGAAGCCAAATGAAAAACTGCTGTAATTTGATACTAGCTGATGGCAAACGACCTGAACCTATCTCAAATCTGCTAGTGGCTTTATTCCTATATCCGCTATATCACCTGGATGTTTAAAAGCATGAGATCCGTGGTGTTTTTGCCTTGATCTGGCAAAGGCGGGACTTTCGAGGCGAAAGTATTGGAATGATATTTTTCCAAACAGTTGATGCCACTTGCATCCGGTAAAATGCTCAATCTACCTGCATGAATCACGATCGAAACGTGTCCAGTTAGGACTCCTACAGCCATTTAAGGTTGGCTTTGCTGAGAGCGAAAGTTCACTAGACCTCTAAAGTTTTAGCTGCTAGTAGTTGACCAACGCATGCTGAGCTGGTCTGAGGTCCAAGAGTCCAGGGAACAGTGAACCACAAGAAGCTAACGGAGCTTCTCCTGTTCCCATTCCGCAGTAATTGAGACTGAAGTACCTATCCTAGCAAGCTAATCAGCCTTCGTTATATACGATAGGCCATCAACTTGATCTCACTTTAGCTAAATTAAATTTAGATACTTACGTACTCGGTTAATTTAACTTACCCAACGATAGTTTTTCTCCCGAATCCGGTGGCAGCGTGAAGCCCAGCAGCGCCATCGATGCGATCAGCACGCACGGTATGATCAAATTAAAAAAATAGTACAATGTGCGTCGGCGAATAATGATCGCAAAGGTGATGTCGATGTATGGTTCGGGACAGCAGTTGTAGTAGATCTCGTTACGCTTGCCAGGAACACCTATGGCGGGCGGAATGGACGATAAATTAGTAAGAAGAACAACATGAAAGAGCGCTTAAGAAACCACACCACATCTCTAAACGATGATATATAAATACAGTTATTTAATAGTAGTAGTAATAATAATAGAAAAGCGTGAACTCAGGGAAGGAAGATGAACAAAATTTAAGCGGCGCCACTATTAGAGCGACTAACACAAATGAAAGCACTGGAGAAAAAGTTTAGCATGAAATTTATGAAAATAGCTTATGTACAGTTAACTTTAATTCGGAAATTCGAAAATCGTTTACGTGAAAAGCAGCGAATGAACAGTAATGAATGCGAAAGTGAAATAGAATTAGGCGTAGTAAGACAAAAACGATGTGAATGTGTGTGAATGCGAACGAGTGTGCGTGTGTGAGTGGTTGTGGTGTAATGCAGTGGTGTGTTTCTATGGAGTGGCCAATAATGGTCTTATGAGTAGTGATTTGTGGTTGTTTAGTGCATGCATGACTTGTCAATAAATTCTGTATTGGAGATAATAAAAAATTTCTGTACGATTATAAACTACTTGTAGGAAATTACATAAAATATTTTTGCTAATGTATGTGTATGTGTGTGTTTGTTTAAGATTCTATTTGCTCTCGGAAATGCATTAGTGGTTGTGTGAAGTTTTGTGTATTTATTAAGCAATGTGTGCATAATTCAGCATGTAAATATTTTAGTTATAAATGAACTGAAAACCATAAATTCCTAATATGGCTCTTTGTGTAAAATTTAAAGGCCTAAATTACTTTGCAAAAGCGCACAGGCATTCACAAGATTTACTATGAATTTTTAACACAAATTATTTACACATTAAAATAGAAAAGTTAAGCAATCAATTGCAGTGCAGATTAGTTTAATAACGAATTTATTTTGAAATGTTTTGCTAATAACTTGGAAAAACTAAATAAAAGAAATTAATTCTATTTGACATAATCTGCAACAATATTTTATTTTTTGTTATAAAATCACATAGTTTGTATTATTGTTAAGCTTTCAGCTTCACTCAAATAACACAACCTCACTTTACTACAATTCTGCCTATTTAAATCTAATAGCTTTCCAGCATGGTGCTAATTATTTTACCGAAATCCAATGAATGTATTTCAAAATGTGCTGTGAGCGCAGTATTTATTGCTTGCTTTCGAGCAAAAGCACAAAACAAAGCATACTTTTGTGCGCTAATACCATTGTTTGCTTTACACTTTGCTTACAACTCTCCAATGCGAATGTTTGTATGTGCAGCTTCAGCTGCTCAAATTAATTTATATTTTGCAGCGAATGCAGCTGGCGGGCATGCATTTATTGCCGTCGGGATTAAAAGCTGAACACAAATTGCAGGGAAAGAGTAATTGCTGCGCCGGACCATTTATTTCGGACATTGCAGAGCTGCTGTTGCACTATATGTGTGTGCGTGTGTCTACAAATGCAGGTGACTGATGTGGGCAGTTGAAATGGTAAATGGAATAATATTTTGTGTTTTGTTTTCTGGAGCTAAAAGTGTGCAAATCTCTGTTGAAATTCGAACCTTTTAGCTTAACAGCTGGCAAAGTTCAACTTTAGCTTCCACAATTCAGCAAATCTGGTAATGCAAATGCAAAAACTTCATGCAACGGATGCATACATGTGTATGTGTGAATTTTTGTGAAATTGTAGCGGTTTTATTGGCTTTTTATTAGTTTCCTTATTCGCAAGCTGATTATCAGCTCGATCTGAATGATTTCTGTTTGCCAAAATGTATTATTCTTCGCTTTCTTTAATTTTGTTTTTTCTGAATATCCTTTTGTTTGAACTTTGCTTCGCTTTTTGTTCTGGCACATTTAAGCAGTTGCATGCAACAACTTCTGCAGCGAAAGTTTTGTGCTGCTTTGCCAAGGGATTTGCATGCGAAATAAGTTTGACTGATGCAGTTCCTCTTGCCTTGATTTATGTAACTCGGTTAGAACTCTCCTAAATTAGATGAGAAGCAATGGCGAATACAACAATAAGTAAATTACTTTGCGTTGTATAGTTTTCTTGAGCCCTAAGAATTTATTAAGGCATAAAATAATATTATCCAGGTTTATGATATTTCGAAGATAAGGATATAATTTATAATTTAACCGTTTTAAAGGCGTATTTTAAAATATATTAAATTTTACTATCAGAAATATATAAATATCAGAGAATCCGAAAGTCAAGAATTATTTCAATAAGTTATTAATATCTGAGACTTTTGTTGTTTTTATTGTATTGTTGATTATCAAGAAGAATGTGAGTTTGACTCTTAGAGCGTTAAGCGGCACATCTAGAGTGCCCGACTAAGCAAAGGCGATCTTTGGGAATTAAAAAAAAAAAAAAAAAACTACTTCATTAATTGTTGTGATATTTTAAGAGTATATTTACAAGTATAATGAAAATAAACATTAACATGTTTGTATAAAAAGATTTAGTATTTTTCGAGTTATACGCGATCTCCGACTAAAAGAAGTTTTTTACTACTGCAGTGATTTCGGCCTTATCAGTGGAAGAAACCAAACCACTTTACTTTATCAAGAAGATACTATTTGTACAATAACTTATGGTTAAGAAAAAATCAAAAATTTACAAAATGGTGGCGTTTTTTAAAACTTTACCCAAAACTTCGATGCCAAAATTCGATTTTTGATCTAATCAAACAACATGTTGCTCATTTTATGGTGAACTATATACAGACATGCAGAAAAATTTCGAGGAATCATTCAAGCGAATGTGAAAAATATGTTTAAAGATAAATTGATGGAGCTGATACACTTCACAAATCTTTATCTCAAAACTAGAGTTTATTGATATAAAATTTTACCATACTATTTATAAAGGTATAGCCTTTTGAAAAGTGGAAATCGATTTTTTTTAATTCACGTTTAGTATGTTCCTTAGCGTTAACGAGTGCAAAACCAAGTACTCGTACACTGCGCGCCGAAATGTAGGCAATATTTTCACTATGCTTGATTAATACATCTTCGTATTCCTAAGACCTTGTTATTGGTTTAAACTTCTTGTAGCAGAAGAATATATAAAGTGCTTTTAATTGTGAAAACCTAAATAAAATATAAAACCATTGGACATTTCTTGGATAAGTGTGGATTTCGAATAAAATATATGTGTTCTCTCTGCAGTTTCCCAAGCACAATTTTTCGACAGAGATAAATTCAAATGCTTAGCTCATTTTGCTTGCATCCATTCATAAATGTAAACTAAAATATTTTAAATCAGCCAAAACTGGGTCACGCACAAGGTGCAGGGATATGTACCTATATATATATGTATATATATATTGTCTGTACGCGCCACATACTATTGCCTGTTTACTTTCAAAACTAATATTGCTGTAGTATATCATAAAGTTCTGTTACCCTCTCCCTCCAACCGCCAACACGGCAGAGTTCACTGCAAAATTCTTTGCAAAGACAAGTCAATTTATTTTCGTTGATACGCTAAAGCATAAACAGGCGGCCATTAATTTATTTCCATAGAACAAAGCGTATACGGGATGTCAAATGCGAGCGCAGCTAAACCCAATGCGCTTGCCTACAACAAAAGCACAATAAAAAAAGCATGCAGAGTTGAAGAAATACGGAGAGAACACTTACAATGACAACTTTATGCTAGTTTGCTTCTAACGCTTGACCTTGTTGCTGTTGTTGTGGTTTCTTGCGCAGCGCTGTGGTCCGCTAAAGTTTAAGTGGCTTACACACACATACTATATACTGAGGCGAGTGCTGGAGCAATATGCGCTTATACAAAACCATTGTACACGAGCCAACGTACCGCAAGCGGCTGAAGCGGCGCGCTGTGACTGTGTATGTGTGTGTGAAAAATAACGAAAATTGTCATTTGCATAAACTTGTAAAGAATTCACCACAAAAGCTGTTGGATTTGCGAAAAATTTTACAATAAAATTCTACCCATTGGCGCGTGCTTACTGCGGTGCAGGGGAAGGGCGAATGATTTTACAAATGCAAAAAAAAAACGAAAACAGTGAGGGAAAAATGAAAAATATCTCCACTAAATAAATAAAATACCAGCGAACACTCGCTAGCTGGTGCGCTTGACTGCGAAGCAATGAAGTAGCATTAGTTATGGCCGAATTGCCTGAAGAGCGCTGGCGCCAAATGATCGGTTTGCCGTGCAGTCGCGCACGAAAATAAACAAGAAGTTACGTAAAGTGATTGCCCTGCCGAGGTAGAGTGCTGTTGGCTATTGTGGTTGTTATTTTTGTTATTGCTGTGTTTTTCTATTTGTTGCACGCAGACTTTACATTGAAGCCGCTTCGGTGTACCTGCCACAGCGAACCCTCGCCGCCAAGCAGCGCTTTGCCTATTCAGCAACACTCGCTCCTCTTGGCGTGTGTGTGTTGGTGTGTGCTGCGGTGCTTGCAAGCCAACCGACGACTTTAGTGGTATTTTAGCATAGTTGTTTATTTTATTGTTGTTTTTTTCTAACTTTTAGTTTTTTGCTTTTAAATTTTGTGCTTTACTTTGTTTGAGCAACAAAACGTTGCACAAAACTTTGAGCCAGCTGGTGTTGCGCTCCGCCAGCCGCAAGTTGTGCCCCTCGTGCTCACGTTTGGTCGTCGTATTTTGAAATGTGGTACGCGTGTGCACGTTTGTGTGTGTGTACCCGCCAGTATTGCTGTAAATGCTGGTGTTTATTTTTGCGAAATAGTTTATTGTTGCATACAAACAGGCGCCGTGTGTGCATAGCAATCTGTGTATTAGGCAACAGCGGCGGCGCTCCAAGCCTCTGCTTACTTTCTTACTGATAGCAAATAGCACAAGGTTCGCTTCGCAAGATACGCACGCATCGGACGGGCGGGTGGATTGAATGCTAAGTTCAGTTTATAAACTTGAAAACGGAGTGCTTGAGTTGGTCCACTAGCTGTCACTTAAGCAAAAGAGTGCTATTAAATAAAGGATGCATTAAAGTGAAATAATGTCTAGTGGTGGGCACGCAGA